TAGAACCTCGAGGGATAGACTCACGCTTTGTTGAGTTTCCACATGAAGCATTCGGCATTGTAGAGGAAGTCGTAGGAGAACCAGGGTTTGAGGAAAATTGGGGGGGTTTATCAAACCACACAGGATGAACGAATATGCTCATCCATTGCGAAGAATCAGTTTGCGATGTACGAGTTTTTCTTTAAGAAACTGGGATTGCGACTGTCGTTCAGTGATCTACAACTGAGTATTTTCATCCATTTGAAGTTAGAGCCTTCACAACTGCATCCAAGCTCGATTGCTTTCATTTGGCTTTCGAGATCGTGTGTCTTTATCTCGAGATCGGTGCAATAATTCTGTTGTTTTTTCTCTACTTCCACCTCCAACGCCAATCCTTGAAAGGGAAGCACAATTGGGTCTCTCTCAAGCAGTCGAGGAAATTGTTCAAGATGTTGACGGACTCCATTCATACTTTTAAAGATAAGTATTTTATGATCAAGCGTCATTATGTATTCAACAACAACAACAACATTTACAACAACATAACATCATGGCATCACAACCACTAAGCATATTAGCAGTTCATCATCTATATTCAATAACAACAACAACATAATGTCACTCTACTCAAAACAATATTCTTCATCACACATCAAAACAATTCACCCAAAGTCCCATGTTTTGTTGCAAATCTCCAATTCTATTATCCTCCCTACATCTTCCTACTTCATACTAGTCATTACATACCCGAAAAATTAAATTGCACACAAAAACAAGAAAGAAATCGTGAAAACGGACAAATCTGCATCTCAGCTTTTTCATATGTGTACCATACGTGTACAACTTCTTCCTGCCCATCTCATACGTGTATCAAATGCATAAGGCCAAACAACCAAGTTCCATATGTATATCATACACGTACAACTAGAGATGTTTTTCCTCTCAACTCACTCATACAACTCACATACGCGTATGGCTCCATGTATACGCATATGGAACTTTCCCACACGCGTACCAGAAGATGGTCGTGCTAGTTCTGGGGACATGGCACGTACCATACGCGTAAAGCCCCTGGGACGTCCCCTCGTACGTATATCATACGTGTACTGCCAGCCAGCGTGTTCCGGAAAACTATTATTGCACCAGGACAACTTCTGTTTGTTTTGAACACTCTCAACCTCCTAATTTGGGTCCAAAACAGAGTTTTTACACATAATAACTCATAGTATCAATCTAATTTCGTTAATCCATCATTCAATAATGAATTCCTATATCTAAATCCTCAATTTTCATCATCTTACTAGATCTATATAAACACTTGTTTATGTAAGCTTTTGTCCTCGAAACACTTGTCTGTGCTAATCCTTTTCTTGATGCTCGTCCGTATCTCTTTTAGATACTCGTCAGTATTAATTTAAAAACTCATCCGTGTTAATCCTTTTCTTGATACTCGTATGTATCTACTTTTGATACTCGTCCATATTGATTTAAACACTCGTTCGTGTTAATCCTTTCCTTGATGTTCATCCATATCTTCTTTTGATACTCATCCGTATTGTATCTGACATTTGTTCGTGTTAATCCTTTCTTTGGTACCCATCTGTGTCTTCTTTTGATACTCGTTCGTATAGATTCTGAAAGTCGTCTGTGTTAATCCTTTCTTTGGTACCCGTCTGTATCTTCTTCTGATACTCTTCCATATTGATTCTAACACCCGTCCGTGTTAATCCTTCTTTGGTCACCCTTTCTCCAACACTTGTGCATGTTAATCCCCAACACTCTTCCATGTTAATCAATCTTACCTACCTACAAAAGTATCTTGTATTGGCCCTGACACCATGTTACATGCTCACCATCCACAAAACCTCTCACCAGAAAAACAAAATTTTCTTTCCCTGACAGATATCACAAAGAATAATAACTCACTCACACAATATCTTCAAGACAAATTTTAGGTCTTTGTATTTAATCATCATGTACCTTGAATTTTCGAAAGTTTGGCGCCAATCTCACTTTCAGGTTTAAGATGATTAAGTAGGGGAAACTATCATACCCCAAATATGTCCTACCCTTTCATAAAAGCATATGGCTTATGCATCTTGTTTTTTTCATATGCATTATCTTTTCAATTAGGTCATTTTACACATCATGTATCATTCATCAATAAACTGGCATTGGGATCAAGGGTCTTGGTAATTAGGTTTTATTTTTGGTTTTGAGGTTACTATCTTCATTGAAAGTCATCGGGATACAAAGGCAGCTTCATTAAAATTTCTCAAGCATCAAAGGTTTAGGTATTCATCAAGTATTCAAATAATTTTGCTTTGGTTCTTTCCTACATGGCAAAGAAGATTAGAGTTGATTCATTACTTAAGTTTGTTCATCATTTGAGGAAGATTGGACCTAGGTTTCCATAATCATACGGTTCAAGTATCATGTATGTCTTCAAGCATTTCTCAATGCATTCTTTTATGGTTATTAAGATAAGGCGTGTGGGCTCATTGTGTTCAAGAAATTATCTCAATTACTTACTGCTTGCACTACGCCAAAAATGATTTTTTGTATCACCTAATTTAATAGCACTTTTAAAAAAAAAGCTATTAAAATGGAAAAAACACATTTATAATAGCACTTTTTAATCGGGCGCTATTATATAATATAGACTATGTAATTATGATAGCACTTTGTACCAGAACGCTATTATTAAACTTCTTTAAGATAGCATTTTGTATAAAATGCTATTATTTGACTACCTATATAATAGCATTTATTAAAAAGCGCTATGTTATATATAATAATTAATTAATTAATTAATTGATAAAAAAAAAACAAAACACATTTTCATTTTTAGTCAGATTTAGCTCACTTCTAATTATCTAAAACTAAAAGAAAATGCAAATAAAATTGAATTGGGGTTAGGGTTAAAGAATTGAGTCTTCATCTTCTCACAAAAATACAACTCCCTCTTCTCTGATTCCTCAAGCTATACGCTAATCACTCACCGTATCATGGTCTCTGACTTGTCTCTCAACGAATTCTACTCAGACGTGGTGGTCCACTTCTTTCTCTGGTGATCTCTGACTCACCACTCAACGACGCCTCCATCTTTGTCATCGCGTATCGACCTCTTCTCAACCTTCAGTTGGAGTTTTAATCCACGAACTCCACACCGGTATCGATTTAGCTTCTACGGACTTAAACTAGACGCCAAGCTTGAAGAAACATAGATATGCAAGATTTAGAGGAGATGATACTTACCGATCGGATTCGCTCCGATGGCATTTCGTAGCGACGAAGATATCGAATAGAAATCCAGATATTCTTAAGAAATAGTTCAAGTACGCTTTCTCTTCGCTCTCTTCTTCGTGATTTTGAACCTTATGTTGATGTGCGTTGCATTTTTTGTGAAGCTGAAACTTAATGATGATCGAAGATTGAAGTAGAGAGTAGAGCATTGAGGACTTTGTTGTTGAGGGTTACGGTGTGATGAATGAGGAACTGTGAAGAATTTGCGGAAGATGGTGAAGATGCAGATTGAGAAACAGTTATGGAAAGAGAATGCAGAGATAAATTTTCTCGAGTAACTGATGAAGAATGATGAAGATGAGAGGAGAAGAGATAGTTTGAGAGGGTTTTTGTGTGATTCTTCAGCGATTATGAAGAATAATGAGAATGGATTGAGGTGGTTCAGAGAAAGATCAAGCTCTGAGTTTTTTTTTTTTGGTATTTTCTTATTCTCCAATGGTTGTTGAAGAATGAAGGTGAAGTAGAATATGAGAAGAACGAGGGTGTTTTAGCTATTTTTTGGTGATTCTTCTGCAAAATCCAGAATGAATGAATCTCCAGTGAGTTTTTCTGTATTAATTTGTTATGAGTTTGTTAGAAAATAGAAAATCTTAACCTTTTGATTAAAGTTAGTTACAAAAAGTTGAAGGTTGAGATTAAATCTGGTATGAGGTTAGTTTGGGAATTCCCATCTTTTGAGTTTTCGCTCTGATTTTATATTTTTGTGTTTCCAATGTATTCCTTGATTTCTCTATTTTGAGTGTGAGGCAGTTTTTGTTTGGTAAAGCTTTGATACAGCAGTGATATTATTTAGGCTCGATTTTTTCATTCGGTTTTGTTAAATTGAATGAGCAGGGCTATAACATAGTTTGATCCAATGGTCCATGATGCAAAGTTGAAACTAGCATGGTGTAGCAAAGTTCATGGAGTTTTGAAGCATGAAGTTTGACATGAACTCGTAGAATTAGGACATTCATTAACTTGCAACATTTTTATAGTTTTACTTTAAATGTGACACAGGTGATATGGCTGGTTTTCGGATGTAATTGAATTTTGGTTTATGGACTTTGATGTAATATATTCATAAGTTAGATTGAAATTGTCACTTTTATGTAATTTCGAATGGTTGAAAGTGTATATGTTCTTAGTTCTTGATTTTGTAATAGCCTTGACTGGCCTCCGACGACACGCCGGCGACCGCGAGCGATAACTCAACTGCTTCTGCAACAGCACAATATCGACGCACTCCGGCCCCCTGTAGCGTCACCGGCAGCCACCACTGGGCGTTCGACTCCGACCTCCATCTCCAGCCACTCTCGGTTTTGCTTGCAGGTAAGCAATTTTTTCCTCTATTTTCTCGATTTGTTGTCATTGTTGTTGGAGAACTTAAATGCTTGATTTGAATCTTGGATTTCTATTTTGTTGTTGTTCTTATTTTAAGAGAAAGATTGATTTTGTTTTGGGGTTGAAATGGATGAGAGATAGAAAAAACCATGGTTATTGTTCTGCAAGTTGTGGTCTTTTGTGAGAGAGAGTAAGAAGAAGAAGTATCATTGTCTAGAAAGAAAAGAGAGAACTAACATTTCTCTCTCAAGATGTGTGCATTATAATTTGTTTTCTTATAATAATAGTTGCCATTTCTCAAAATCTCATTCTCCGTCGAACTCAACCCTTTGTCATCTCACCTACGTCGTCGTCATCCCTCTCTTCATTTGTATCCGGTAATATTTCTTTTTTCAGTTTCTGCTATCCGTTGATTCTTTGTGTTGTTTGTGAGTGTTATGATGTCTTTGTGTTGACGGATATTCGTGATTTTGAGTAGCTGTAATGAGGGTTTTAGCTTTTGTTAACAAAAGACCACCGATGGCCACAATAGCTAATGGTAGCCCTCCACATTTTTGAACAATTTCTCTGGACATCTCCTCAAGTTCTGTTGGACAGTGCCCTCTAAACGTCTTGTTGCAAAACATCTCCCATGCTTTGTCTGGAGGCAAACGTTGTAGCTCATGGACATGAACAGGAAAAGATTTCCTAAAATAATCAGCTACATGCATTTTTCTAGTAGTCACAATTATTCTACTTCCTTTGTTATTACTAATTAAGGCATATTCAATCCCATCAGAAAAATTATCTTTCCAGACATCATCAAATAAAACCAAGTACCTTTTTGACTCAAGGTATTGTCTCACTTGATTAATCAAAGTTTCATCATCCATATTCTGCAGACCCCTTGGAATAGGCTCGTTGCTGTCCTTGCAAAATTTCTTTATCATTTCTGTCAACAGCTCTCTGATGGTGTACGATTGCGAAACAGTGATGAAAGATCTACAATCAAATTTCTTTTTCACTAGCTGGCTATCAAAAACATGCTTTGCGAGAGTAGTTTTCCCGAGTCCTCCCATGCCAACCACAGCAACCAACATGAGCTCATTGTTTTCCTCCACCAAGCATCTGACCAATTCATCTCGCGCGGACTCAAATCCTACAACTTGAGTCTCTTCAATGAAATACGGAGCCATTCGAGGGTCACCAATTCTAGGAGCTTTAGTCCTTCCTGCTTCATTTTCAGACAGAAACTCGAACCTTGTACTTCTTTCTTTGATTCTACCAAGTGATAACTTGATGTCTTGAATCTTAGAAGCAATCTGGTGATGCGGATTCATGGTTTTGATCAAACCAGGAATCATTTGGAGTGCAGATCTGAATATAGAATGACTGGCCCTCTCTGCCAAAAACATGTTGTAGTAATCAATCACATCTTATATGCGAAAAGACGCTTCTCTCACCTGCTTCACCCAAGTTTTGACTCCATTGGATCCATCATCATCATCAGCAGCCTTTGTGTCTGCATCCTTGAGGAAGGCTTGGATGCTCTCAAGTTCATCTTTGATATCATTGAAGTCTCTTTCAATCCCTGCTACTGAATTTCTTTCTTCTACTGTATATTGGCTAGTTTCTTTTATTACAAATTGGCCTAGTTCTTGTAAAACAAATGATACTGCAGTTTCTGCCATATCATTTCAATGTAGTATGGTACTGCAGTCTCTGCCATATCTTCGCAGGTCTTGCCTTGATGATGATGAGGCATTCTTGACAACTGCAGACTCAGCAATAAGGCTGCTCTCTAAAGCAACTAGGACAGTTAGTGAGTGGAAGGGTCTGGAATACAGAGCAGCATTTCCAATCCTTAAACCTGCCGGTGCTAATTTCTACCCCCTGACATGGACAAAATGGTACCATAGAAAAATTCAGATTTGTTTGGTTTGTGATAGAATATCATGATGTTGTCTGATCAACAGAACCAATCCCATATAGTGAAAAAGGATTTTTGTCGTCATGTAAAGAAGCTATTTTATCAAAACATTTGGTTTGATTTATAAAAAAGATGAAAACTTGTGTTTTGCAGGAGTTCAATTTATGGAATGACAATTTAGCAAAGGATCAACAGACAGAGGCAACAAGCTATTTCACTGTTATTAAAAGGCACAGTGAATTTATTTTAGATTCTGGTCTGTCCAATGATAAAGTAGCTTCTTCTAAGGATCTGTATATAGTTCCTTATTCTCAAGAGTACAAGTCTCTTCTTGCAAAATCTGCTAAATTATTGCATAAAGCTGGAGACATTACCAACTCAACAAGGTATATTGTTCTTTGATCCATTCCCTTATTAAGGGGTCAATTTTCAGCTACATGCTAAACTACTTAAGTTGTTGGTCAATAATGCATTGTTTCCAAGTGTAGTTTGAAGAAGCTGCTACATAGCAAGGCTGATGCTTTCCTTTCAAATGATTATTATGAGTCTGACATAGCCTGGATGGAATTGGTTAGTCAATATTGCCTAGTTTACTTTTTATGATCCAAAAAATAGTAGTTGTCAAGCTGGTGAGATGTGTTGCCAATAGTAGCAAGTTGTTGGCTAACAATTTTTTATCAATCTATGAACTTGGTGTTGGTTAATGATTCTTTATAATTATAGCTATTATTTTCTCTTTGTAAATGGTGCATAATAGAATCAGCCTAATAATTGTAAATATTGTGAAAAGTGAATAATATATCTCAAGTATGAATAATGTACATGCACTAATCTGTTTATAGGCTATTATAATGTAATGAGTCTGAAATGGTGAATACTTTTATACACTACTTGAGTTTCAAGTTTAGACAGAACTTATAATCTTATTTTGACATGGTGAATACTTTTGTTGGAGTTCTTCTACTATTTCATCTGTGTTGTGCTCTATGTTTGATCCCATCATTTATCCTTGGTTAATGTGTTTTTTCCGAAACAATGCGCTTGTGTAATTAAGGTAATGAGTTTTATTTTGTATACAATTTCTGAAAAATGATATTATTTGGCATTCTCTTCTCTATGCAGGACTCTAAGTTGGATATCACAATAGGGCCATATGAAACTTACGAAGACAAACTTTTTGGATATAAGGTGATTACTGAAAACCAGGCTTTATGCCGCATAAACAATTCAACGCTTTTGGATCTATGAGTTCAACGCTTTTGGATCATGAAGGTGGTTACTACATGGGATTGTTTTGTTATCCTTTCTTATTTTTTTGGTGTTTTGTTTAGAGAATTTTATTGTATGTTTTTGGATTTGGATTGAAGTACTCATAGATGGGCATCTACAAATTTGGCTATGCAAACGCCCTCTTAATATTCTATATGTTATGATATTTGGAAACAATAGGATTTGGTAATTTAAAATGTTATTTGGTATTTGATGGATCATAATATATATGCAATGAGTAACTTAAAGCGTTATTTGTGTTGAATTGAATATAGTTATTTTATATTTACACCAAAAAAAATGATTGTGTAAGAAAAAATATTGTACTGTACTTATTAAAAATATTGTACCAAATATGTACCATTTATTAGCACTTTATTTGAAAGCGCTATCAAACATATGTTATATATTAGCGCTTTTTGTTTAGAGTGCTATAAAAAAAACAACAAACATGCAAAATACTGACTTTGATAGCACTTTAGTTAAAACGCTATTATAAATTGGTACTTTAATAGCGCTTTTAAAGTGCTATTAAATAAGAAATATTTACAATAGTGGCGCGGTTAATAGCACTTTTAAGCGCTATCAAAAACAAAAAAAAGCGCTATTAAATAGCTTATTTGGCGTAGTGTTGTCATGCAAGTTAATTTGGATTTGTGATTGAGGATAAAGGTTCAACAAGAGGGAAACTTGGTGTGGTTTTGATTAATGGAGAATTGAGATGATGTTTCATTCAAATTATTCCATGAGATCGACTTATTCAAAATCATAAGTTGGGATTTGGTTCATGGCTAAATTTGGAAAGGGTATATCCATATCAATTTCTTAGCATACAAGTTACTTTGACTTGAGACGTAAATCGATATGTTCATTATTTATCAAGTTCATTCAAGAAATCTAAGGAAAAGGATCCATTCAAACATTATTCACATTGTTGTACCCCAAAATTTTCCCTCTCATATTATCAAAATTTTCCTTACAAGACTTCTTAGACTCAAGACCGGATTAGGGTTTGCTCAGCTCAAGACATTTCCTTGCACTGTTGACCTGAAATTAGGGTTTGAGTTTGCACAAGGATTTTTGGACTTCCAATGCCTCATGTGACTTTAATACTTCATGGTGGACTTATAATATTTCCCATATCAAGTTTCAAGCCTTGAATCAAATTTTTGCCCAGTCAATTGGACAATTGACCTAAAAATTAACTATATTGGGAAAAAGTCAATTGTGGCCAATTTACAGTCAAACCTCATAATTTTTTATCCACATCAACATTATAGACTCATATGAACCATTTGATCAAGTTTGGACCATAATTCCTCAAGAAATTTGATCAGATCATCAAAAGGGGCAAAATGGTCATTTTTAGGGTTTTGAGTGTAGAAGGGCAATTTTTGATTTTTCACCTAGCCAATTGCAAATTGGGTTCAAGCATGGTTTCAAGGACTCAATGTCATCATCTTGACCTAATCACAAGGTTCAAAAGATATCAAATGCATTGGATTGACATATGAATTTTCCAATCAACTGATCAAAAATCAACTGTACACTGAAAAGTCAAACTTTGACTTTTTGGTCAAAATCAAGTGCCAAGGGTCATTTTTCATCAAGATGTGTCAAAACATGAAACTTTTTCACCAAGAAACCTAATTTTGGAAATTAGGGTTCAAGATTGAAAATTTTCATAACTTAGAAATTTTCTAAGTTATGAAAATTTCTTATTTTTTCCCAACTTTTCCCAACTTTTTCACCATGAGGAAATTGGATTCAAAGAAAACTTCCAACTTGAAAGTTTTAGTCCTCCACAAAATCTACAACTTTTATTCACAAAGCTTTCCCAAAATATGCTTGGATATCAAGTTATGATTTTGTGAACAAGGGTCCATGAAACTTTTAACTTAGTGAAATGTTGCCCTAGTTTAGGCAGGAATTTGACCTATCTTCATGGCAACTTTTCACATAGTTACAAGTGGAATATCAAAATGCATTTCAAATATGGATTGTAGAGCATGTTACAAGATTTCCAAAGTGTCCAAGAAAACTCCAAGATCATTCATGGTTAGGGAGAATCGAAAGTTTTAAATTGGAAAATTATCACTTTTGTCCAAAGCATTTTGCACATTGCTACAACTTGCAAACCTGTCCAAATCATGCTTGTACTTGGTTTACAGGTCTTAATCCTTTCCACACTTATTAATTTAATTCAAATACATTGGACAAAGGTTTGATTTTGAGCTTTAGAGCATTATACAAGGGTTTATTCCATTTTTGGCATAAAGATAACAATGCCATTTCCATAAAGTTCACTTTATGCAATTTTGTTTTCCTTGAGCCTTGAACCCAATCTCTTGCAGCAAACAAAGTCCACAAATATCAGGAAAAGCTCACCAACTCTCAGCAGGCCTCAAGCTAGCTTGTACAACCTTGGCTTTTGTCAACTCACCTTTTACTTCAAAAATAAGCAAGTGTGCAAAAACTCCACAACTCTTCCATCTGATAAGAAAAAAGTTTTGTATCATTTCAAACAAGTTCAGCATAACACACCAAGCCTAAAACACGATTTCCAAGCATTGCAAACACCCTTAAACACAAAAACACCAAGTTCTTGTCAAAACAGGGCCATCACTGCAGAACCACCTCTAAAACAAATTTCACTCGTGCGTTTTGCCTTGAATCCCTTCCAACATACTCCATACATCACACCTAAGTTGTCCAGACCTTACTCAAGCAACTGTAACTCCATTTTCACACTTCACCATTTTCACTTTGAAGCTTTGCAGGTTGAGTTCTACAAGGAGTTTCAGATCATTTCAAATCAAGCTAAGCATTGGGAAAGGTCAAGGGAACATCAAGCAAGCTCAAAAGTCCTTCAGGCCTCACTCACAACTCCTACATTGCCATATTCGAACTTGACTAAAACAGGTATTTCTCAAGATTCTAACTCCTTATTTAGGAATCATTAAGCTTAGGTTTGTGAAGAAAAAATGTAGTCCTCAATGTCCTTGAATTGTACATATGCATAGCTTCCATTTATATTAACTGAGCTAGGAGAATTTAGATGATGAATATGCTGAAATTTTTAGGTCAGAAATTGCGGGTAATAAAATTCTCTCTGGTCTTTGAGAGTTAGATCAAGTTTTTTATATAATTAGAATCGTGTGATGATGAGCTATAACTTTCATGTTGCAAGATTTTGTTTTTAAGCACGTATGCAAGAGATACAAGTTTGTACATGGCGTGCGCGTTTTCTGGTTTGATGGACAGGGAAGAAGTGGAACGTGGGCTGGGCCTGGCTTTGTCCTACTATTGACACCTCCCTGCTTGCTTTTTACACCCCCTTGGCCCATTTATCATATTTTGTATTATTTTTCATTTCTTTTGTGATTTCTGACTTTATTTTTTTTTTCTAAATATTAAAAATCACCAAAAATATTTTCTTAATTTTTACATTTTTATTTTATTATTTTTATTATTTTTATTATTTTTTATGAC